CTCAGGGCCGGCTCCCTGAGGCTGTCCCGACACCAGACGGGCCAGGGGCCGCAGCCGCTGCCCCGGGCCGTCTTGGGGCCGGGGCCACGACCCTGTCGGGGACAGGCTCCCTCGCGTGGCCGGGAGGGAAGGCGGGAGGCAGCGGGGCGAGCTCTGCCTTTGCCGTTCTAGTTGATGCCCACTTTCCTGTTTCCTTCAGAAGGTTCTCCGTGCAGAGATGTGCCCGCTGCCACCTTGGGATCTCAGCCTCTGAAATGGTCATGAGAGCCAGGGAATCGGTTTATCACCTGAGCTGCTTCACCTGCACCACCTGCAACAAGACTCTGACCACGGGCGATCACTTTGGCATGAAGGACAACCTGGTTTACTGCAGGGCCCACTTCGAGTCCCTTTTGCAAGGAGAATACCCCCCTCAGCTGAGCTACACCGAGCTGGCTGCCAAGAGCGGAGGGCTGGCCCTGCCTTACTTCAACGGCACTGGCACGGTCCAGAAGGGGAGGCCCAGGAAACGAAAGAGCCCTGCCTTGGGAGTGGACATCGTCAGCTACAACTCAGGTGGGAAACACACGCCGAGTCTGCCTCCCGCTCCCCTGGAAGGAGCGTTCTGGGGCTCCCCCTCAGCCAGGCAGTGCGCCGCTAACTCAGCCAGGCCAAACCTTGCTTAGCCATTGGAAAATCAAACAAACGGCTCTCTGAGGGTTGGAGCCTTTGCAGGAAAGCTAACAGCAGCCCTCCTCAAAGGCTGTCTTTGCCTATTAATGTCAAACACCCAAACTTAGCCACTTCCCAGGGTAAGGACAAAACAAAAACGAAACCCAAAACAACCCCCCCAAACAAAAAAACCAAACAAACAACCCACAAAAAAATCCAGAACCCCAAAGCCATATAGCTATTCCTCTGCTGGAATCTTAGAGATACAGTTATCATTATTTATATTTGATTCGCTAAAAGCATTTCACCACTTAAACCTCAAATTAGGAGTAACCAAATGAATCAGGAAAAATAGAATAAAAGTTATAGGATATGGTTTCTACAATGCCAATGTTGTATGCATATAATTCGATTTATATACGGAATTTATAGTGATTAATTCTTCAGGCCGAATAATTCTGTTTTACTGACACATAAATGATCAAACTGTACAAGAGGTCAACGAAGAAATGTTGTTCCCTGTAACTAAACTCTAACAAATGTAATTAGGGAGAATGATTTCTGTTCTCTCAACAGTAGGAAAGGAACAAGTGTTGCCCCGTATTAAATATCTTCTCTAACTGCAGTCACTTGGGTTTATACACCCAAACCGTGTATAAACAGTGCTAGTGGCCAGAGGTAAAGGAGTTTCAGGAATGACCAAGCAGTTGAGGCGGGGTTTCATCAGATGAAAGACGAAAGCAGTAAGGGTAAATACGAATTAGCAAACTCCCGACTCCAAAATTGTTTTAGCGAAACTTAAGCTTCCCAGGGACAGTAAGAGAGGGAAGAAAGCCGTAGGAAGCAGGAGTTGTTTCCCCGTGGAGCCGCGCCGGCAGGGAGCTGCGGAGCGCTGGCCCCACCGGGGAGCCGGGAGAGGGATCACGGCCTCCCCTTGCCACAATCGCTGCATCGCTCTCTCCCCCGCACCGAGTTCAACCCGCTGCCACTGAGATCCATGAGGAATCTTCCACAGCCCCCCTGCCCTCCCCAGCCCTTCCCCAGCACCTCCTCTGGGGCCGCCCGTGAAACGGGCTTTAGCTGGGAACCAGGGAGCTGGGCAAGGCCATTTCATCTCCTCTGATGCGTAGACCTTGGAGCCAGGGTAATCACTGCGCTAATTGTTCCTTGTTAATTGAAGATGACATTGGAATCCCTGGCTACGGAGCGGCTTCCAATCAATCCTGAAAGCTGCTAAAGAAAAGGGAACCTGTAGCGCAGCCAGGATTAATTCAGACCCAGCTTCCAATGGTGGATTTCCCGTGCTCTGCTCTGGTCTGTAACCCTGCTCCACACAGCATCACCCGAATCCCCAGGTTCCTAAAGGGAAATACTTCTAGGGACGATTTAGCGTTAACATTAGAATCAGAAGTTACGGTAAGATGAAGAGTTGTAGGTAAGATAAAGCTCCCCTTAAACTTCAGATCAGAGAGATCTCTCAAGAGAGAGACAATATTTGCAAACGCTGACATAATTTTTGTGTGCTGGTCTTAAAACGTCCCTTCTTTACAACAGTGGGCCATATAAGATGTACCACTGATTCCAAATCAGATTAAAAAGCACCACCCATTATGAAAATACAGCCGACTGCATTGAGAACTCATAGAATCCTCCGGACAACGGAAAGAAAAAACAAAACAAATCAACAAACGCTGTGATGCTCTGGACTTAGGCTAGATGGCTAAGAAATCTCTTTTGTTAGGGCGGTGATTTTATTTTTTTACGAGCATTATCTAGCTATGTCCAGAGCAGACACATAGCTAGACAAAGTTTGTAGCGAAACCTTGTGCATCGGGTGCAAGCAGCCCATTGACCCACTGAGCTCCAGATCCAGGGGGAGGAAAGCGAACCCGGAACAGCAGAGAAATGAATTGCAGTAGATGAAATCGCTTCTTGAGAGAAAAAAGAGCCTCTAATTGGCAGCCACTTCCCTACACACATTTTTCATTCTCTGCCCTGTGACTCAGTAATTGCTCTTGCACGTAATCATTCACAAAGGGCCAGCAGGAATTAAATGCGGGCTGTCCGCGGGAGCAGCGGGCCGGGCCGGGCCGG